CCGCCAGCTGAACCAACTCACCATCAAGCCATGGTTGCTAGAGCCAAGGAAAAGAAGGGATGGCAGAAATCTTGGTCAAGGAAGCACAAGACTGCCTTTTAATGGGCAAGTTGCTGGATCACCCTAGCTGCTTCATAAAAATCATACTTTTGGTCCCTACTTGAAAAAAATACAAAAAATGTTTCGTTCTGGTTATGTTCCAATGAAAAGCAAAAGTTCACTATCTGTTTAAATAATAATGAACATGTTCTAACACATTTTCTGAAACCAGAAAAACAAATTAAGAGTGCCTTTGGATTTGTTAACTACAATCAGTTTACATTTCTAATGTCATCTTAATAACCTATTAAAGTATCACCCTGGTCAAAATTATACAAACATGCTTTTATAGAATTGTATGTCTTTGCATAAAACATACCCTTGAAATAAGGTATACATAGCATTGTGCTGAAAGCCACAGCAAAGCAGAACCTGACTGTTAGCTCACATTAACCGAGTCTTTGGCTGATATTTTCATGGAAGCTATGCTGATCTTTCTAGCAGTGTCAATAGAATCACATTACTGCTTGAGTCAGCATTTTCGAAAAGCTATTTGGCAGTTCACCCCTACAGTCAGATTCAACACTGTTTACAGCATCTAATAAACAGGGTTAGAGTCATATACAAATTTAAGAGATATTTCATTGTTATTCTCAACATAGTTAACTTTGTAATAAATTTCTGCATCTATTAAAACTTTTTCTTCTTTTTCTTTTGATCATGAATCTAAATGCTTTATTTGTGACATGAGTTTTTTGTAACAATAAATGCTCTGTCCTGCTCGATGTGAAGAGCTCAGTGGTTTAATTAAAAAAGCAGTTTAAACCAACCTTGTTGACTTTACGATGAAATAGTGTTTAATGACATTAATAAACAGTAGAATAATAATAGCAGAAATAAGAGCAGCTGGAGTATTAACACAATTAATTATGGCATCACAGCTGAGACTGATAACAAAAACCCCTGGACAGTAACTTCTCAAACTAGTACAGCTGTTTCCAAATAGGCATCTGTCTGGGCCTCAAGGCTATTTTATGTATGGATACTCTTAAATTAACTTAGCAGGGCTCAGTTAAGTAATTACAGAAATAATTTGATAATATTGAAAGCTAATATTATATAAGCGATATGACCTTGCACTGGTTTATGAAAAAAATTGAAAAGAGACAATTTTGCAACTTTCTTTGAAGAGCTGAAATAGCTGTGTGTCCTAGAGTCCTAAAATAATTGATTTGATGACAGGAAAGCTCTACGAGAGTGATTAAAAGGAAATTTGTTTTTCCTTTTGAAACAATTGGCAAAGAAAGCAAAGGAAATCTTATCACTACACTACTTTTCAAAACAACATAAATGTAGTTTATGGAAATACTAAATTTCTTCAGGGAAAGAAAGGGTTTTTTTAATCAATTCAGCTGCCAAATGACACAGTCCAGTTTCCCCTTAGTCTCTACTTTTCTTAGTTGCAACACTTTGAAAATGGATTTATCTTGTCCTCTGAAAATGCACTTGTAATTTTCATCTTTAAGATTTTACATGCATGAAGACTGTAAACTATAATTGTATAATCATCTAATATCATATACATCCTTTTTTACAGTGGTATGTTGTAAATATATTGTGGAAAGGCCTTTCTAAGATTTACTTCTTAGAAGTAAGTGGGAAACGTGTGCATTTGTAACTCTTACTGGTATCGTCGACAGTGGAACATGTGAAGAAACAGGCCTTGATGAGAAGATGTAAATGCTAGCAAATTGAAAACAGAGTCCAAAAAAAACCCCCAAACATTAAACCGCAATCAGTTAAAGTTAATTAGCAAGCATGCCTTCTATCGTTTTCAACAATTAACACTGACAGAATTAAATTTAATTAATTTCATTTAATCTTCTGGCTCTAAGCTACTTAAGCCAATAATTCTACTTCACTCGCCGCATACAAACACCCCATATATAAACACACATATAAATACAGTTTTCCCCTGTTGTGA